ACACATACATACATACATACACACATATTCTGCATGATGTTTGGGCTCAGTTTTATTTTAATATATATTAATTTAGTTGGCTACATCTATTCAGATCCCTGAAGTTCTAACCTTATAAGATAAGCTCCAAAGTCTTAATAATATTGACAATAATCTGGCAACAGAGGTCAGGACAGGAAAACTTCTAGTAAGGGAACAAGAATTGACATCCACTTCCTAAAGTTAATATTGCAGTTATCTAAATTAGGTAGCAAGAAGAGATCATCTGGATAAGCTCAGCTAGCAAGCCCATGAATGCCTGGTTATGGTATTTCTAAAACTGTTTAGGACACATTTGTGAATAAAGGGAAGAATTAATACAGCTAGTCACAGATAAAAAGAGAAAAGGAAATCCAAGAAATTATTTGATAAGATAGCACTGAAGTAATGTAAACAAAGTCAGGGCACATTGTAATTCTGGGGATAAAAATCTGTAATTAAAACTAGGTCTTCCATTTTGAACCTATAGGTGTGGATTTTTGTAAACTGGTGATTACTGTCCTTATTAGAAATCATTAATACATAAAAATATTCTTAGAATAAATTATAGTCACTTGTTTTCATTTAAAAGTTAGAAGTTTCTTTTTTTTAACTTTTTTATTACACAGTAAAGAATACAACAATACCTGAATCATACTTTAAAGATTCACAGGTTGACAGACCATACATTACAGTCCAACTAAGGAAAAAAGGATAAACAAGAAACCACAGTTCAGACATAGTAAACTTAAAATCTCAAAAGTTTGCTGACAGAAGCATGATGCCTAAGACCCCATCCCCCAGTGTTAGTCTACATTAACTTGTGGTACACATCTGAAATAAGCATTGCACAACAACTTTAATTTTTCACAATAATATCGCAGAACCCAAAATAATGTTTAAAAAAATTACTTCGAATCGGGATTTCAACAGTCTCCAATTTCTTTTTCTGTACCTTGTGAAATTCGGACAACATGGAGTCACTTTCTTTCCCTAATTATTCCAGACGTAGGCATGCTTTGCATAAGTAAACCAACCTTGAAATTTTTAAATCCCCAAGACATTCACCTACACATTAAAAAAAAAGTTTTAAAAGATGGCCCAGTCACACACATTCTTATGACAGAGAAAAAGAAAAAGAGAAGAGTAAGAGACAGAGAGAAGAGATAGAGAACACCCTATTCCTATCAGCGACCACCATTCAATTCTATCCAATGAAGATGACTTTTTAAAAATGTGTAATACCTACAAATTATAGTCTCACATAGCCTTTATATAAGTGACAAGCAAAAAAGGAAAGTAACAAAAGTTTTTTCTTTCTCTTGTTTAGGTTTATGAGGTCTGCATTGTTACCAAGAAGTGATATGGTTTGCAGCTGTATGAGGTGAACCTTTGGTATCCTGGTTCTTTTGTGCCCATTTGGTTTTATTAGACCAATTTTTGTTAGCTACTGGTGCAATACACATGCTGTCAGAGGTACGGTGAAACTTTATCCCACTGAGGAGAATGTAACAAAACAGGAAGAGAGGAAGAGGAGGAGAAGGAAGGGAAGGAGGAAGAAGAATCAGAGTTAGAGCTCAGAGTTAGGGATTTTTTAAAAATTTGTTTTCACTCAGGGTGCCCTGAATTAAAAAGTAATGAAACATACTGTACTAATTCTTATTTTACACACTAGTGTTAAGAAGAATAACAATGCTGTTTCACATACATCACAGCTTCTAAAGATGTGTGGGTATGAGAAATCTCATTTTGGGGATTATTTAACCTTTCATAGCCTAGAACATATCATAGCTCTGTAAGAAAGGACTGTCCAGTGTCACAAGTAGACTACAAAGCAGACTGAGGTCAAAGGATTCTGGGAGCACCAAGATAAAACCCATTGAGAGGCTGGTATGTGCTTTTATAAGCAGGTGTGCTGGCAGATGGACTTCCAACATGCAGATAGATATATTTATTTGCTCATCAGAATTTTCTAAACTAAAAAGCCATTAAAAGGTAACATTATTCAAATGAAATTAAAAACAATTTGTATATAAAGATATGGGGGGAATGCTTTAAGAAAAACATTAGATTTAAGAGACTTAAAACCATTTGAGGATTGCCTCTATGCAGATAACTTAAAAACCACTTAAAAATGCATCCCATGGTTATATTAATCCCCTACCCCCGAAGCTAATGGATCGTTTTCAGTTTGTAAGGAAATGCCTGGTGTACATGTATAAGGAGAAGTGTCTCCCAGCCTTGTCAACTTTGGTGGTTTACACAGACTGCAGCCCTGCTGACTCTGGAAAAGCAACAACCACATCCTGGGCTACTGTGCTCAAAACTAACAAGTAGTTTTGGTCTGGACCCTGGACAACGAAGGGTAAATGGATTCACACTATACCTTGCTGAACATGTTTAACCTGATGATCATTTGGAAAGTAGTACTGGTACTTTTCAAAATTCCGATTCTGGTCCATCAGATCAGTCTTTGGCTGACTTCCCTTTTTGTAAGAATACTATATAACCTAGCATTCAGCAGTGTTAAAGCTGTCAGTCTACACCTCAGCATTTGGAGCTCTAATGACTTTTTTTTCTTTTTTAAAAATTAGAAATACTTAAACGACCTTACAGCAATATATATGCACTCTTTCTTTTTAAAGTGGGATATCTTATTTTTTAAAAAAAGTCCCTAATAATGATTACCCCCCTCCAAAAAAAAAAAGAAAAAAGAAGAAAAATTCCACTACTACTGTATGCTACAGCTAAAATTGGTGAAATGGCTCTAGCATATTTTAAAACGTTTGCTTGGGGGAAAAAAAAGCATGCCAAGGGAGTCATGGTGACAGTGCAAAATATATTTATGTACATCCTCTTACAAAAACACCAATATGTTAGCATTCCGTGAAGCATGCTGGTTCTCAGGGGAAAAAATCCAGTAAGAGAGTGAAATAGCAGCTCTGAAAAATAGCTTTTTTCTTTTCCTAAGGACAACCAAAAAGTTTTTCTTTCTTTTTAACTACTAGAAAAATATCACTAATACATACAGATATAAAAGCAGCATAGAAAGATACAGGTTTCTCACCAACTACGAATAAAGAGACTAAATGTGGGCATATGGATAAACTAATATGCATCTTCACATTTGTGCAACACATTTACAAGAAAAACACCATTAGGAAACCTCACAAGACAGAAGTATTTTAATACCAAGAGAACTACTAGTTTTTAATTCAAAATCCAAACAGGTTGGAGTTGAAAATTTTTGGAAAGGGGCTCGAGGTGCAGCCACCATTTTTTAAAAATTGTTTTTCAGTATAAAATGAATGAGCTGGAATAGACCCAATGTCTTACTCTGTGGAACCTTATAAAAGTGAAGAAACGTTGAAGGGTTATTTAGGGCAGCTGGCTGATGTCGAAGCTGCCAGAATGCTAATTATCTGCGGGCTGAGTCTCTACTTCGGTGGGTATGTATGTGTGCATACATATGTATAAAAAGGAGCCTCAGTGTTATGGCATTTTTTTTCTTGCTGCTGTATTCGTATATCCCACTGCAAATCATCTTTCATTTTTCATTCTGTTCACCTGGACATTATTCTTTCTTTTCAGAAACAGGAAAAAAACTGAACGTCTGTGTCTCCTTCCAGTCTGCTGCACATCTGCGTGTTTGTAGCGGCTCTTCAAAGTTCAATTAGCAACCCACGGATGACATTCACCTTCTGGTTAAAATGTCTACTGCTGTATACAGTACTCATGCCCTTGAGGGGTTTCGTCTTTTTTATTATTATTGTATATACAGAACATTGTGACTTTTAATATTAGCATTTTTGCTTCCAACAGCAATTAGCAATCTCTTGGTTTGCTGTTTGGTAAAGCATTGGTTAATAAGGTCATCTAGTTTAAAATCCCAGCTACTTAAAACTAACAGGGAGGAGGTCAAATCTAGCATTTCATGTTATATTCTCTGCTCTCTTTTCAGTTCTCTAAAGAACAGATATCTTTGTTATCCACAATAAGTCATTACGACCCATTAATGGCCCTCTGCGTTTTACTACAGCCTCAAGATACAGTTAGATTTGCTCTTGCTGAAGCACTGAAATAGGATAATTCATCTACAAACAGACAAACAGAAACATGACTTTGAGCATCTGAGGATGAGGAATTGGTTTCATATTGGTTCCGTTGTCTTTCCTCTGACAGTTATGAGTTCACGTCTAGCAAGGGGTTGTCTCTATGGTGGAAGGTGTTCCCCGGGTGCTTGACCTTGAGTGCCTGCTGGTGGTGTGTCCATCGGGCTCCCAGCCCCGCTGCTGGGTGTGACGGAGGAGGTGACTGATGGCAGGTGTGCCTCCCTGTTGCAGTGCCTGCAGGGTCTGTCCACAGACGTGGTTGTGCTTCTCCCAGTCTTTGTGCTGGCAAAAGGAGCCACAGCATTGTGCTGTGTTACACCCACTGCAGCTCGCACTTGCTTTACGGCCACAATTCCA